CCCACTCTACAGCCTCAGGTTACCCCACTCTACAGCCTCAGGTTACCCCACTCTACAGTCTCAGGTTACCCACTCTACAGTCTCAGGAAGATACCCCATATCTTGACAGCATGGGTAAAGGGAATCCCTGTGTCACTGTATCAGCACCTTGAGATAGGAAAGAAGCATCATTCTTCATATTTTAATTGCCTACTTAGCTTTTCCCAATGTTATTTTTCATGAATAAATAGGTAACTGGTTTTTATTTGTTGTTTTTCCATTCTATTTATACAACTGTCTAAATCTATTTATCTTGCTCCATTGTGTGATCTTCAAGCTTTCTTTTGCATACAGCCCCGAGGCCATGAGATTCACTGTGCTCTAGAGAGAGGGGAGCGGGAGAGGGAGAGTGTGTACACGTGTGGGCATATAACATAGAAAACTGGTCAGTGTGTGCTGATGTGGTTAATGTGGTACTTTAACATGAGTGAGTTTGCTGTTTGTCCCAGACTTGAGAGCGCAGCAGAGTGACAGCTGCTTGCTGAGTGACTGTGTGTCCTTCTGTGGTGGTGTGTCCGTCTGTGGTGGTGTGTCCTTCTGTGGTGGTGTGGACTAATACACATTTGTTCAGGAACGTCAGCCATTATTTTAAAAAGTGGGATCAGGTGGGGTGTTATATATCTGGGTTGCTAGCAGCAGGCAGAGTCCCAAAGGCCTGAAGAGGGAGAGGCCAGTTTCCCTGGGGCCCTGGGGCCCTGGGGCCTCCATGTAGTTAAATTCTCAGTGCTGGCTGTCAGTAGTTTACTTTAACAGAATACCCTGTGCCAAATGATACGTTCTTTGTGTGTATGGGGGAGGGTGGCTTTGCACATGGAGGCCAGAGAAGGACTTGCTGTAGATCTTGGAGCTAGGCTGGCAGTCAGCAAACCCTGCAGATCCTCCTGTCTCTGCACCCCATGGCACGGGGGGTTATAGGCATGCTTATGGCCTGCCTGCCTTTTTATGTGGGGACTGGAGATTTGAACTCAGGTTCTCATGCTTTCATAGCAAGTACTCTTACCCACTGAGCCATCCTCCCAGGCCAAAATGAAGAGAATAATGTCTGGTTCTTCTTTCTTACCCTTTTTTTTTTTTTTTTTTGCTTTATGTGTACATTTTTCATAAAATTGATCATGTGGAATTTTTAGTGATGGACCTCATTTTGTGTTTTGCTTCTATTTATAGGTCATGTTCCTTGGGGAGCTGGAAGAAATCTTGGATGTGATTGAACCGTCACAATTTGTTAAAATCCAAGAACCTTTGTTTAAACAAATTGCCAAGTGTGTTTCTAGCCCCCATTTTCAGGTTAGTAGTAAACAGAACATGAGCCAGAGCGGTGTGTACCATGTGAACCCATTTGGCTAAACTTGGTTTATGTTGAAAAAATAAAACCATCTAGCTCCTTTTTCTCTCTTTTTTTAAAGTATGTGTATATAAGTATGTATACATGAGTGCACTGCCCACAGGGGCCAGAGGTGTCTCAGATCCCCCTGTAGCTGGGGTTATAGGTGGCTGTGAGGTGCCTAGTGTGGGGGTGGGAACTGAACTTGGGTCCTCTGCAAGAGGCAGTCAGTCCACTCTCTAAGCGTCTCAGCCATCTCTCCAGCTACTTTGTTTTCGTGTGGGATTTTCTCACAGGAGAACAGTACCGTTAACACAGTTACCGGACGGTGAGCACCTGCCCCAACAGGCTCTGTCTCTTAACTTCAGTTCCCATAATGCTTTGCAAAAAGTAATGATGGGAACGCAGAGCTGAGGGCAGTAAAATGACGTAACGTGAGTAAATTAAAGGAAGTGAGCTGCTAGTTTCTCCAGTGTCTGAGAAGGAGTATTTGGTGATCCTTAGGAGGAGAAGAGCAGCTGAATGTCATCCTAGGACGGTCTTTCCCACTGTTTTGATAACAAGGCTCTGCATGCCTTGCTCATGACCTTCCCATGGCCTACTCTGCCTCCTTGTGGCTGTTGGAGGCGAGCACAGGGAAGGTGCGCCTGGATGTGTGCTTTCAAGGAGGTCCCGGCGGCGGGGGCGGGGGCAGTGCTGTGGAAAGCACACAGGAGAGAGGGGGCCAGAGTTGAACACGGTGCTTTATTTTTCCTGGTGGCTGTGTCCCCGAAAGTGTGTCACCGAAAGTCCACCATACAACCTAGCAGACTCAAGTACTTCCCGTCGTTTCAAGATAGTGTTGAACAGCGTAGAAGCACACTTCTAACTTGATGGTGGACGGCCCTGGAAGCTGTCCAGGAGAGGCCTTGGCTGTTACTGTTTTCACTAAAGACATGTTAGTATAGTAAGCTAGTGCTTATACCACACAGAACAAAAGGGAAAAGTAGCTGGAACACCTTCTGTGGAGTGTCCAGTCTGGATGCAAGTAGAGAAGTTCAGAACAGTGCACAGCACAGTATAGCACAGTATAGCACGGTATAGTATAATATAGTATAGCACAGTATAGTATAGTATAGTACAGCATAGTATAGTATAGTATAGCATAGCATAGCACAGTATAGCACAGTATAGTATAGTATAGTATAGTACATTATAGTATAGTATAGTATAGTATAGCACAGTATAGTATAGTATAGTACATTATAGTATAGTATAG